AAAATATTATATGTAGTTCACTATTTAAGCATTATAGCCTACATTTGTTGTCTTGACAATGACGTTAGGACGAATATTAACCTCAATAAATACTTCACGATTCGATTGGTACGGGGGATAAATAATAATTAATTTTAGAATTAGTTTATTGATGAGTTTATTTTATGTTTTGTTGGAATAAAATTGTGAGATATTTATTTCGTAATAAGTTATTCTGAAATTATAATATTATTCTTATCTCAAATTGAAGACGGAATAACAATACCTAAATAACAAAATTCGAAATAATTAATAGCAGAATAATTTATTCTCTAGTCAAACATGTCCTAATTAGTGAAGTATTAATTGCTTGATAAAAACTCTTATTTATCGTGTAGAAGATAAATGTAATATCTTTTATTGATATAACTTACTTATTAGGTTATTATAAAAGAGTCGATAAAGATAAATATTAAAAGTCATTTTCTTGACGGTATATCTCTTTTAGTATTATATATAATTAAAATTTTGAGTTGACTCGTATCCAGGGTCATTCTAAATCTGTAAAGATATGGTACATGAATCTAACTCAATTTCTCATTCCTCTACCATCATGAGACTTCTTAATATTATCCCGAATCCCCCTGGCTTTAACTGATGCGTAAACGCTTATAAATGAAAGTCTAACACTATTGAACAACAATTGGGACGAGTGTGGCTCTGATATCACGTAAAAATACGACACTCGAGTTTAACTCAACCTCGAAAGTTAGCTCACGAGGGAAGATTTATTCAAGTTCATACAAAGAGATCAATTTCTCATTCATCTACTAATGTGCGACTTCTTAACAAAACTCAAGAACAGAACTACGTGAGGGACATAGTGCGCAAAGTGCGTAATGCAATTTTTCAAAATACAATAATATATTCAGTGTAATTTCATAAATAAACTTTGAAAAGAGTGGTGAGTATGAATCTTATTATTAGCCAATCGAACTTTCATTCAATAAGGTAGGCTCATAATCAATATACAATATATATACCTGAAGAGAAGTAGGATATTGATGCTTTTGCCTTTGAATGGAGGAAGAGTTAAGTAATAATTAAGCAGATATCCTGCAAACTTTACACAAAGTTGATCTATTTATATACTCCACAAATAAAGAAGTCTCTTAAGGATTTAAATATTGAGATTGGACAAAAAGTTATGTATGTATACAACTTTCTTACTGGCACAAAAGGTTAAGAAGAGGGTAATTAAATAGAAAAGTAAGAAATGATTGTCATTGAAGAATTATCTTATCCCATGCCTATACAACTAGATTTTCACATGGCATAAACACTTATCCCTATGCCTTCATTTCAATGATCAACATAATACAAAAACATTTGGAATCAAAAAATGAAAAAAAATATATATATAAAAGAAAGAATGTTGGAGATTAATTTACTTTGTATCTAAAATTGTTGTTTCTTGATTTAATATATTGTATCACTCTCTCACTTGCATTAATGAGTTGTGGGCTTAGATATTTTTTGAAGATTGGATTTGAAATGTACTTAGTAGTGACAAAAGATTTCTAGTGTATGTGTTTAGAAAAATAATAAGCAAATACAATTGAAGAGAATATGATTTTGATGCGTGTCAAATCATTTTTCTTAAAGAGATATTATATCTATACTTATATATTCGGGGTAATACAAGCAATTTCCTTCATAATACAACGACAAAGCCCTCGTATATATCTGCAGATTTTTCTCTTAGGCTACTTCTAGAAAGTTTATATTTGTATAATTTAAGAGATAACTATGTTCTTTTATGAATAAATGACTAAATTTCATTTACAGTGATATTCTTTCGTGAACAAATATATCTATCCAATTTAAGATAATTTATATATTACAAAATATCCAACAATATGTTTAGAGTGAAAGGGAAAAAAAATCTAGTTTCATGTTAAGTTGGTTAAAATATTTTCTTAAAATGATCTTTCTAGTGGGATAGTAAATAAAAAATAATTTTATTAGTGATATTTCAAACTCATTGTCTTCTTTCCGCCCTCCGCCCCTTCGTCGCCAACAATTCCCACTCCCCCCTTATGGTAAATTATTGTTTTGTTTGAATTTGCTTCACTTAAACTCGATCGTTTTCATCCTATTAAATATGAATTCATTCTTCGTCAATTTAATTAACATCGAAGAATCTTGAATATTGATATCAGAATATCATATAGTAGGGGGGGCATGTGTAGCCTTTCTTGTTGTCTATAGTTTTTGGACTTGGGAGGCCCCTCTAGTAAAGCTTATAGGGCTACTCACCATATCGTACTCTCATGTTTTTTTGTCTCATAATTTCGAGGAATAAAAGATTAGACGTTTTATTGTTGTCATATGCTTTTGTCTTAATACGTTATCTGGTTAAAGAATAAGTTATTTAATTTCTCACTTATAATACAATTAATAAGATATATTTTTTAATTATTGAAAGTTATTTAGTTTGTTGACCTAAAAATGGAATATATTGGATATGATATAAAGAAATGTTTTTATGTAAACAAGATAAATTGGAACAAACTTCTGTATTCAATTTTAACCTAGCAATCGTTATAAAATGTTGAGATAAAAGCTATAGAGAAGGACAAATATGTCATTTCATTATTATTATTGTTATTGTTATTATTATTATTATTATTATTATTATTATTATTATTATTATTATTATATCAAAATTGTTATAAAATTTACTATCATAAGAATTTTTAATTTTAAAATAAAAAATTGTATCTATGGAATAAAATAAACCACTTGAATTTATCTCGAGGTTATAATCACTTGCCCACCAACCAAACAACCCTTATACTATAATTTGTGCATTTTATAATATATCACAAATTTTAATAGTAAAGTTAGATCCGATCGAATTATATTCAAATAGATAAGTTTTTCTACAGCAGAACATTATCCATAATTTCAAAATGGACCCATAGGAGTAATTATAAAAATAAAGCAGCCAAACTCAGAAGCGAAGCTAGGTGGGATTCGTGATTCAAACGAATTCACTAGCTTATGAAAAATTATATATATAAAACTTGTCAATCTTGTTTAAAAATTGATTGACAACTAAAAGTGATAAGAAAGGTGGTAAAAATGATTTTCATACAAGTGTTGTAGGTTCGAAGTCGACTATCAATAAAAATTTCTCTTTATCTTTTTAAAAAGAGAAAAAAGCACAAGTACCTCTTAGACTATGATCGAAAAATTAGAGACATGCCTTAACTGAACTAAGGTTCTATTACAACCCACCTACCTCTCCTTCCAAACCCATTTTTTTTTGTAATTTTGTGCAAATTTTTGGCTTACGTGACATCCAAATATCTCTCACGCATGAGTGTGCCTCATAAGACAAAAGGTGTACAAAATTTTAAAAAGAATAAGTAATGGGGTAATAAGACATTAGTTTAGTTAAGACGTGTTACTGAAATATCGGTCATAATCTAGAAGTATTTGTACCTTATCCCTTTTTAAAAAAGCATATTTTGCAATATTTTTCTGTTCTGTCCTGAAATTTAGAACTCTCAAACTCCTAACTCTGGCTCCGCCTATGCTCTTAACTCTGGTAAGTTTTTAACTCTTAAATCATTGAATCAATCTTTACTTGTGTTTAGGTGATCCTAAATCATATACACATACGTAACAAAATAAAAAATTATCTTATATATACAATAAATTTTTTTAATGATGAAATTTGAATGAAACCTCCCAAACCCTAGATCCACCCTATAGCCTACTTATCTTCATCTTAACTACTCTCTTGTGTTTCTTTCACTAGTATATTTCTGACTGAATTGGTTCCTTTGTTTATATACCTAACAATGAAATGGTGGGGACAAATGACAATATTAGCCAGAGAAATTAAAGGAGTGTTGGACCTTAGGGGCATGTGGTGATTAGATAAGTCATGTTTCAATGTTGGCTCTAGAAAGAATGAATTTATTTTTTCTTATAGTTTTTGTTTGTGGTGTTTATTAGGTTTTTGAGTAGTCAATTTACACTTATATATCCACCAAAAGTCCAAATCCTATTTAAGATATTGTATGTATGCAGAAAAATAATTAAGGGGAACTAAAGAAGATATTTCCATTTATCACTAGATAGGATCAATTTTGTCTAAATTCAACTCTATTGTCCTTCCACTAATTTTGAAATAATGTAAGTTCATGGTTAATTGTTTTAAGTTGTTATTTACTAATCTAGTACACGCTTTTCAACTCTCTAGATCCATTCTGAATAGGTGGAATTTGTAAGACAAGAACATATTTATATCGTTTGAACAAACAGACTTTTCGCGTGCTAAAGTTCAAAATCAAAAAGGAAACATCCCAAATCGTACGCTAAGATGGCCTAAATAGTCACTCTGTGAAAAAAAAAGTGATCGAGCGATGACAATCAAAAGACGGGGTTCTAATTATTTTTTAAAAAAAATTGGGTTAATTTGAAAATTTTTAATTCCAAGGGTATGGCCCACAAAGTTGTAGGACCCAATTCATGTGATCAACTCTGCAGGTATATTATGGGTCATGGGCTAGTTATTACTCACATAAGCCCCAAAGAACGTTTCGGTGCTCCGTGGACCCTTGTGCTTCGATCCGTTTAGAAAGTGACCTGATAATTGAAATCGAGCGTAATTTAATATAACTATATAAATTATATATCTATGTTGTCGGTCCCCAATCTCGTTAATAAAAATTTTCCTGGTGATATCTAGGCTTGTTATTATTTTAAGAGAACGATATAATAAAACGCTCAAGATAAAATGTATTGAATTAAGGATTAGTTGATTTAATTTAATATTATTTGCGCATCGCTTAGATGTATTCATCCCACTAACAAACTTTGAAAAAATTAATCCGATTATGTCTCTTACTCGCCAATTTTTTTGTCCATAATGAATTATTGTAAACAAACTCAACCATTTTAATTAATTAACCTCTTCATAATAATAATTAACAATAATAATTATAATGAGTGCTTCTCAACGTTCTCAATTAAGCCACCGGAACATCATAACTTGGTTATTCGTCTTAATATTAATCATTTATCTTATTTACTCCACAAATTACATTCTTAACAATGATGATTCAGATTGTTCTTCCAATATCAATGAAATTGATCATCTTTCGACGAATAATAACACAACTATTCTTCAAGATGAAGAGAAAAAAAACGAACAGAATGATGAAAATGTACTACGAAAAAAAGAAGAGGAAACTAATCTCAAACATGTAGTGTTTGGGATAGCTGCATCGTCGATTTTGTGGGATAAAAGGAAAGAGTATATTAAATTATGGTGGAAACCAGGAGAGACAAGAGGTGTTGTTTGGTTAGATGAAAATGTCAAAATTAATAACAATGAACCCTTACCTGATATTAAGATTTCAGGTGATTTGTTTCGATCTTTTTAGGTTCTTATCATTGAAATTATATTATTTAAACATAGTAGATTTATCGATCCTTTTTTTTTTTCAGATGACACTACAAAATTTCATTATACGAATAGACAAGGGAGTAGATCGGCTCTAAGGATATCTAGGGTTGTTTCGGAGACATTAAGGTTGGGCTTGAAAGACGTGAGATGGTTCGTGATGGGGGATGATGATACGGTATTTTTTGTGGAAAATGTAGTTAGGGTTTTATCAAAATATGATCATAACCAATATTATTACATTGGTAGCTCATCAGAAAGTCATGTACAAAATATATTTTTTTCATATTCAATGGCTTATGGTGGTGGTGGATTTGCAATTAGTTATCCATTGGCAAAAGAGTTAGAAAAAATGCAAGATCGTTGTATACAAAGATATCCTGGATTGTATGGAAGTGATGATAGAATTCAATCTTGTATGGCTGAACTTGGTGTACCACTTACAAAAGAACGCGGGTTTCATCAGGTAAAATTTTATTTAATATCGTAAGATCTGCTAACATTTTGAAAAGTCCGAGCTAGTATTAAAGCATTTGGTTGAAATTGATGATTTTTTTTGTTTTTTTGTTTGTGGTAGTATAGTATGATGTATATGGGAACTTACTAGGCCTATTGGGAGCACATCCAGTGACACCACTAGTCTCACTTCATCATCTTGATGTAGTAGACCCAATATTCCCAGGAATTTCGAGGGTTGAAGGTCTCCAACGCCTATTCGAATCATCGAGACTCGACTCTGCTAACCTAATGCAACAATCAATTTGCTATGACAAAGAGAGATATTGGTCAATTTCAGTGTCATGGGGCTATGTTGTTCAGATAATTAGAGGAAATGTTTCACCTAGAGAACTTGAAATGCCTACAAGAACATTTCTCAATTGGTACAAAAGAGCAGATTACACTGCTTATGCATTCAACACTAGGCCTGTCACAAGACATCCTTGCCAGAAACCTTTTGTATATTACATGAACACCGCGAAAATTGATCATTCAAGAAATCAGATTATTGGGATTTATTATAGACATAGAGAGCCTTCACCTTCTTGCAGATGGAAAATTGAGTCACCTGAGAATATCAACAACATTGTTTTGTTGAAAAGACCAGATAACAATAGATGGCAAAAGGTACAATTTTTAACACTTCTATACATAACATTTGTCGTATGGTGTCTAGATCAACTTGCTCACATATCGACTATAACATTTTTTTCTTTTTTGGGTGCAGTCTCCAAGGAGGGATTGTTGTGGTGTTTTACCATCAAACAATAACTCAAAGTCAAATTTGTACATGTGGGTAGGCAGTTGCAGAGATGGTGAAATCAGTGAATTGTAGCTGTTAGGGAGAGAGGCTTTACTTCATTTTTATTTTTTTTTCTAGTTTATCTGTAGTTCGATTTCTAGGCCATCCAAATATTGGAAGTATAAAATGAAATTGCAACACCTAAATCATTCAATATTTTCCCTGTGTAAACATCACACTAATTTACACCATTGTAGCTTTTTGTACAAGTCAAATCTGTTACCAGACATATTATAGCTTATATAGGCTATTTTGCCTTGAAATCAATTCTTATTCTTTTGTGCAAGTAACTACAAGATAGGCATTCTCTTGAACCAGTTTCTCTCTCACAATCAAAGCTAACAACAGCTGTGGCAATATCTGTTTTGGAGACTGATAATATGATAATACGGGTTTCAGCTAGCAACTGTTGCATCTCAATTGAATACATAGAAGGAATACTTCCTCAACAACAACAGAACTTAAATGAATTCACAGTGTAAGTTAAATAGCATGAATTTCTTACAAAAGTGTAACATATGGTACCTAAAGGTTTAAAGGAAGTCCACAAAGAGCATCTTTAGAATGAACAGTGTTCCAAATGCACTGGAAGTGTTACAACTCTCAACAGCAAATCAGTCTTGGATCAAATTACAATGAACAGTGAAAAATTAATAATGTTCAGTATAGTACGGATACACGCTGTGTAATGTCTTCAAGTAGAAAACTAAAAATGCAGGAAGCTCATCCACATGTAAGCTAAAACGACTGGAGACATCTTCTCTGCAGAATCATCTGGTTAACATTCATATTAAGAATAAGAATATGGAAGTTGAGAGATTAATGATGTCAAGGTTTACAACTAACAAGTCCATAGGGCTCAAGAAAACATTCACATCTACGATGGACAGGTAGTTTGTCAACAAAGTGAACTATTAGGATATCCAGATCAGATATTAATATATGAATCATGGAAGTAGTAAGAAAAACACTACATAAAGTATAAACGTAAGTCATGAACTGCAACCTGAGTACAACTCCTATTAGCTCGAAAACATAACGTATAGTTTATGGGTTCGGATATGCTTACTGATAGCCAAACTTCTGTGCTCTAGTCACAAAATGGAGTGAGATCAATTTTGAACTGCTGCTTCCCCTTGCTAACTCTCTGTAAGAAATGTGATATCAGGGAAGAAAAGAATAAGTGCAAAGTGCTTAGGAGAAAGGAACACAGAGACATACAAAGAATGCTAAACCATAAGCTAAATGACAGCATATACCATTATGTAGTTTGATTTTTTTGTTCCTTGCATTTACCAGCATCCATTTATTGTTTTAATGCAGTGATTTTTTTTCTGTAAAATCCAGAGGTTTAGAAAGGGAAATTTTTACTCATGTTTTCATAAAGAGGAGCCTTGGACAACAGTAAACTTGTCTCTGTGCAACCTATAGGTCACGGGTTTGATCCCTGCAATCAACCACTGATGCTTGCATCAAGGTAGGTTTTGTGTACATTACACCCCCTTGGTGTGCTGTCCATCTTCAACCGCGTAATGTGGGATGCTTTGTATATCGAGCTGTCATTTTTTTCCTTTATAGTGTGCTAATACTGACAATTTATATATCACGTTGCCAACTATATTTATTTTCTGGTGCTGCTTTCTCAAAGACAAAACACGTTGGGAGATGAGGGGCATATATCTGCATTTAAGTGCCATTTAAGCGAGACTGTCCAACTTAAACTTCAACTTGTTATTTGGTTTAAATGTACATCAAATGAGCACATTCAACAATACTGCAATGTAGCAAGATGTCCCAAATTTACAGTCTTGGAAAAACCCTTGTGGGACAGGAACCACATCTCCTTACAACTCTCTCCAACTCTGGTATAGACCATGATATCCACACTGGCATCATTATAGGGTCAACAAGCAACAAAAGATGCTAAAATTGGCTCCTACAGACTAACTTAAATCAGATTAGAAAATTAAAACAAAAAACATAAAGAAATAAGGAAAAAATTAGCAAACATAGTTGCTCTATATCCTCTACAAGTGTTTGTACTTAGAAGTTTAGCGTCATTCATTTAAGCAACAAAGAGTGTCAAATATGCAATTCATGCTAACAGAAATTAACTTACACCAAGCGCAACAAGCTCTTCTAGTAGTTCCTCCAGATGACGCAGAGGCTAAGTCAATACAAAGATGAAAACATTAATCAGATCAATAGCTAAAACCAGAATGCCACAGCTTCATTTAAGGGGAAAAAAGGATGACTCAAAAGTCCACAACAGATAATATAGTTTGTGTTTAACTTACCCACTGTGTTGGACCATCAACTGGAGCACTCAGGGGATCATTGTGCACCTAATGAAAAATATCTCTGATTCAGTCAAGCAGAATTATTTTTGAGGAAGAGTTGAGCAGAAAATTAATGCAAGTCTCAAAACAGATATCCTAAAAGTTCAGGAATCTCAAAAACGGCTTAAACGTTTCTCTTTTGAATGAATGCACCAGCAAAAGTAATATCACCACATTTTGATTTCACCTCTCCAGTTCCTTTTCACTCTCCTCTTAAATGAGTAAACATCTTTGTCTTCTTAAACAAGAAGTGCATACAGAAAGCAGATTGCAACTTTACAAATACTAGATGCTCTTTTTTACCTCCATAAATAATCCATCTACTCCTACAGCAACAGCTGTCCTGGCAATACAAGGAATTAATTCACGAAGACCGCCACTAGCAACACCACCACCTTCCAGCTGTACAAGAATGCAAAACATCAATTTATTGACATAGAATAAACTTTAACACTAGATCCTAAGAAATGGTCTGATTATGTGATTGAACTCGTGATCCTAGAATATTGAATTGACTACTGTAAAATAATTAAAATAGACTATTAACAGTTGATTCTGACGCTTGAAAGATTCAAACAGCACAAAGTCAGGACAATGTCATAAAAGAAAGAGAAGATAAGGCCAATTAAGGGTTGTTTCTGTACATAGCCGTGTCTAACATGATATTGAAGAAGAAATTTTATACAAAATAAACCTAAACCTTCAAAGTTAAAACTAATTAAATGCCCTGAGTCATAGTCATGGACTCAGAGTGTTGGCAATAAACTGCATGTATCCAGTACTGATATGCTATGGTTAATTAGAATAATTTCTCCTTTCCTTTCCCTTTTATCAGTTGCATACGTATCAAAGACTCATCTAAGGATTTTCAGTACTCTCAAAGGAAAGGGTAAAAGAACAATGCACCTTTTTGCCTGCTGGCTGTTGTAATGAATGAGTTATATCAGCAACCTGAGAACAAAGAATGTAAATGAGAAAAAGTACATCAAAAAAATATATATATATGTAAGTGGATTCCTCAAGCTATTTTATCTGGGAATAGAGTATTAAAATACAGTCATAAATAAGACTCTTACAACAGGGCAATTGGCCTCCCTCATCCACTCAAAGTTCCGGGGATCTACAATCAAGTCATCTGCAGAGTCAGATAATATATGTTAGATTTAAATACCTGCAGAATCCTGCCTCCTCCTTACCGAGTTTGGGAACAATTATGCTTCGGGAAGCGACAGGGAGAGGAATATCCACCCCATCTACCTATACGTCTTTCTTGTACTGTTTAATCAGGAGTTACTCTACGTAATTGTTTGAAGTAAAATGAATAATGGATTTGCTTCTGTCCACCCTGGTCCCCACCCCAGAATCATTTTGCATCTGACCTTTGATGCGACTTTCATTAACACTGAGAACATGTCTCCTACTTATTCTTTGTTTAGCCTTGACCATTAGAAGATCAGTGCAGAAAATTACTCATAATGTACATGTAAATCTTGAAGACCTTCCTTTCCGGCATATAAAAAACTGAAAATAACTTCTCAGAGACTTGCTTTCATCCAACTAGACAAAGTTAATAAGAAGAAACAAACTGAAGAAAACTTACTATAGCCAAACATTGTTCCTCTCTCACACACCATGACATTTTGATTTCCAGCCAATCTCACTTTTTCAGCAGAATTTACCATCACCTGAGAACATTGTAGCATAAGTAGAAAATGGACAGAATATAAACCCATGAGTGCATCCAAGATAATGGATAAAAGTTTAGTGGTTTTGACAAGGGAAAGTGAAAGGAGAACTAAAACAAAACTGAAAAGAGAAACATTACTTACTGATTGATCCAGTAAAAAAAGAAAAAGGAATGTCACTTACTGAAGAAGCACAAAACTGGCCCTTCTTAATGTTAATAACTTTTCCAGTCTTGGCAGCTGCAACAAGTAGGTCGGTCTGTCATTAAAAGCCAAAAAGTAGATCAATATGGCTGCTTCCTGAGAAATCTATTTAAAATTTTGGCAGAAAAAGTAAAAACATCTTTCTGAAAATGAAGATTATAACCTGCCTACATAAGAAAGCAGGAATTTGAATTATATCTGCAACCCGGCCAACTGCTTCACACTGAAAAAACATTGTTAGATGCAGTTCATATTGGAAGGGGAACTACTTCTGGACCACCACTTTTCAATGATGAGCAGTTATACAAAATGAATAAATGAACTGGAAATATCACATTACGCAGATACTCGACTACTTTTTTTGCATAATATGTTTCTGACAATAAAGTGTCAGTTCAACCAACAACACATAAAGTTTTTGTAATCTTCTCCGTCATTATGTTAGAAAGGGGAGAATAATTAGAGCTAAATGCCTCCAACCATAGAGCACAACATCCATGACGTTCTCAGAAGAGTCAGAAATGAGGAATATGATGCAAAAAAAAGTACTTTGTGGAATGGAAAAACATTAAGTTGGTCATTAAACTTCAGAGTAATAAATATGAATGTGAATAAAAAACCATGCACAATTTATTTACAGAAGTTATATAATTTCCTAAGTGAATATTTGCAGTTAGATCATCAAAATTCTGGATCAAACAGAATATCAGCACAAAAGTTTTAGTTATAAATGGCATAGTGCCACTAATATATGCAAACAAATTTTACCTGAATAGATTCATGAACATCAGTTACAATGGGTATGTCATATATTGTTTTCACCTTTTCAAGGATCTGCAACAAAGGGGGGAAAGTGATAGGTTATTTGCTGGAAGGGTTTACGTAACAGTGGAATTCATGCATGAGATGGAATATAACATATTAAACCAGGCTGCAAAACTATATCACAAGAAAAGAAGGATTAGAGACCTTCATTTACAATATACATATTTTTAAAACTGATATAGGAGTTTAAAAAACCAACATGAAACCAAA